ATTTCTTTGATAACAATTCAAGAATACATAACATGCTAGAGGCAATGCATGAGATCCTTGAGGGCAATTTACCAAAACTCCAGAATCTGCATTCGTCCACCGGGCTTCAGGTATATTGAAATCGCCGAAAATGAAAGACTCACAATAATATTCTTGCATTCCATAATGATTTCTTCGACAGCCTGGCAGTGTTGTAGATAAAAGGTCTCTGCTGCTTGAGTACATGATTTTGTTTCATCAACTTTATGACGTTTTTTTTTTGAAAAATTCCAATCTTCTTCTTTTGAATAAAATCCACAATCAAAAAATCCAGTTTCAAAAGTCGTCAGGGTTCACTGCACATACCTATACCACAAATACTGATTACCTACCTACTATTTTTCAAATGATTCTTAAAATTTCTAGGATTTCCAAAGATATGAACAATGCGTTCAGCGTGATGATGTTGATCCATATCACTTGGACAAGCTTCATAATAAGTGTTTTGGGATTCGGTATTATCATGGAAACCAACTATTGGAACATGCTGAGGTTCATGATGCACCTCGGAGGTTGGCTTTTGATGCTCTTCTTAGTTTCATTCTACGGGCAAACTTTAATGGACAAAGCGAGTAGAACACTATATTCCCATAGGTACCAACTTCATCAATGTTGGATTTCAGAGTTCTGATATATCTGAAGCCGTCTACGATACTAAGTGGTATGAGAAATCGCCGAAAATTCGAAGAAATATTGTATTGATTTTACTACGTTCCCAGAAACCTATCGTGTTGAAAGCGGCGCAACTGAAAATCATGTCATTGTCGACTTTCTTAGGGGTGAGTACCTATCCAGCGAGCACAAACATCCCTGGGATGTTTTGGGATGTTTTGAAAATGTTGGCATGAAGATGTTATTTTGAGACGTAATATGTACTGACCAAAGAGGTCTTTGAAGGATATTGAAGTATTGTTTTTGTTCTTCTGTGGCATTTCTTTGTTTGCCTACTGAGAGGTATCCCTGGAATGTTTTAGAAATGTAGGCATGAGGATGTTTTTTGAGGCGTAATATGCACTTCCCAAAGAGGTCTTAGAAGGATATTGAAAGTATTGTTTTTATTCCTTTGTGCCCTTTCTTTGTTTGCCCCACCACAACGTCTCATGCTTACGTCACAATACGATGAATTCTGATTTGTTTTCGATTTTGTTCTTCTTGTTCGCAATTGGCATTCGCGTTTGCAGCGTGTCACGCTTACATCACGCTGCTAACGAACAGAAAGGAATTTGGTGAAGTTTATTGTGTTAGAAGACTTATTTAGATTGTAATAATGACCATCAGATGCAAGATGTGTTGTTCGGTGCCTCAGTGTAATCAATATATAAAAGTACGAATTCATCAATACACAGCTTCTCCGCAGTTGCAAAATTATGCATTGTGGAGAACATTCCAAAAATTGGGAAACCTATTTTCAATTATATGTCTGTGTGTAGTAAGCACTACTCAGAAACCGATTAAGAAGGTAATTTCACATCAAGAAAATATTTTTATGTTCAATCTATTTTTAATGCATATTTTCATTCAAGGGAAATGGAATCCTAATGAAAAAGTTCATTTTGACAAAGGGCTTCAGAAAAGTACCTCGAAAATGGTTTTTTTACAGCGATTTAATGTGCGCAAGACGCGTTGAAAATGTTCTGTTGTGTCCATGAAAAGGCTTTAAAAAGAACTAGGGAGAAGGTGTAGTTTTGTGACATATCAAGGACATCTCGATAATTGCCGCCTGCGGCGGACATTGGCTGCTCTATATAATAGTTCTATTCATGTGTGAACAGAACATCGCAGTGGAGGTTCAATTCGATGTCTCGAAATCTCGTACTTTTAACATCTCTGAGATGTTTTTGTGCTCGCTGGGTATATATAGGTACTTATTGTACATTACTCAAACAGAGGCGGATTCAGGTGATGCTTGAGGAGGAACCCATGTTGAGGGCTAGAGTGCCTAGAAGATCTGACGTTATTTTATAAAGAGTGAGGATATTCCGTAAAAATAAAATAATGCACTTTGTTTTGAACTCCCTTGATAATTATTGGCAGTAGTGTTGTGGTATCCTAAAAATACTGTAAATTTCTTATTTTAATGCATATTAAAGTCGACAGATGTCGAAAATCATGCCAAATATTCTTATCAAAACGTAGCTAAATTTCTTATCTTCTTTATGGTTCTAATTGAATTTATTGGTACAGCGGTCACCATCCGATTGGGAACAGTGGCCACTAATGGTTTTCGAATATAAAACAGTTGCCACTGTTCTCCTATATTTTTTGTATCAAAGTGATCATGCCTCAACCAAAATCAAAAAATCCTGGTTCAATTTAAAATGCCCCTTCAGAAACTATGAAAAATGCACTTTGTAGTATAAGAGCTAGAGAACATGGTATTTCTGTGAAAGCAGCTGCAATACGAATAATACGATACAATATTTCTAAAACTTTTCTCAGAAGATATGTCATGAAATTTCAATAATATGATGATTAGTGAATGTAACTACAAGATTGATTCCAAATTATCCAGTAAACCATATATTCTCAACTGTACAAAAAATTGCATCATAGACTGACACCTAAGAATATCCGAAAATTTGCATTTTCATTAGCAATGGCAAACAACAAGCGAATTCCGCACTCTTCTCTGATTAGTTAATATAATTATGTTTTCAATGAATATTGACGGTATGGCCTGTAGCAAAATCATCCTGTATATGTCCATCGCCTATATATATGTTCGATATGTATAACAGTTCGCTAATCTACCTGCTTCTTCGAAAAATAACTCACCTTACACTAGATGCCTCTACTTGGCCAGTTGTCCGTAAATTGTTTTTATAAACTTTTTGTGGTTTTTACGGAAACCCGAGACTTCGGAGATTCGCTTCTTTTCTTTACGTTTACCTAATGGCCGATCGCCATTTGAGTTTGCAATCGTAAAAGCCTTTTGGTGAAGCTATCAGAATTTGTGTAACAAGTTACGAATAGTGTGCCTGGTTTTAGGTAAATTCTCTAGCAACTTTATTTATAATTGTTTTCATGATCAAACTATTACTAAATATTAGTTCGAAATATTGTTTAACCGGATTGATGCCGGCATGCTTTTCGATTGTTCTTACGCCATGGAATTTCAAAGTATCAATTAGATAATCTGGTTTCAGATTTGTAATCACCTAACTGGCGGCCTGTACACTAGCAACCGAGATTTTGAGGCCGTGAACAATAAAGTGGTTTTCTTGTACGACACATCCCTTATTTCCGAACCCCATCTATTACAGGCCATTGTTCCATTCGTTTCTGGAGACTGTGCCATACTAATTGGGTACAGTGGCCACAAACCAAATATTTTTCCAAAAGCCATCCAACGGGCCATTTTGCATCTTCTTCATAAACAGTGAATAACCCGCTTTTCCAAATCTATTTTTAGTTCTATTTCCAATTAAAACACTGCAAAGATTTCTGATTTCCAAGATTTCCAAATATATAGGGTGGCCACGGTTGGCGGACCTTCCTATACAGGCTGATTCACGGTGGATGGCACATTAGACGTTTCTGTTGAACCAGACAACGAATCATTTTGAAAATTCAATAGAGGGCATATTCGGACATTCTCTAGCCAACTAAAATATTTTCGACAAAGCGGTGTTGCCGCTTCTATTAGAAAGCAGTAGCAACTTTTATTTTTCAAATGGAACACTCTGTATTTTATTGCATTTTTAGATTCTCCCTGAAGAGCTGATTTCATCGATGTATCACACTTGGGGTCTAGCGGAAATGATTACAGAGATATAGGGTGTGAAAAATCGACATTTTTCAACTTTAGGATTTTTTTGTGTCGAAACTATTCATCATTGGTCAAAACGGCTTACATGTCCCTATCTCAACTTTTGATTAACTATCTACTGATATTTAATTGGGACATATACCGGGTGATCAAGATTCTGAATTCTGCACCACCCTGTATTTGTTTCAATTAAATGTTAGGGACATGTGAGCCGTTTTGACCAATAATAAAAAGTTTCGACAAAAAAAATTCCTAAAGTTGAAAAATGTCGATTTTTCACACCCTATATCTCTGTAATCATTTCCGCTAGACCCCAAGTGTGACACATCGATGAAATCTGCTCTTCAGGGAGAATCTAAAAATGCAATAAAATACAGAGTGTTCCATTTGAAAAATCAAAGTTGCTACTGCTTTCTAATAGAAGCGGCAACACCGCATTGTCGAAAATATTTTAGTTGGCTAGAGAATGTCTGAATATGCCCTCCATTAAATTTTCAAAATGATCCGTTGTCTGGTTCACCAGAAACGTCTAATGTGCCATCCACCGTGAATCAGCCTATACCCAGTATCCAATGAATAGCCGAAATCCAAAAACGAGAACATACTGTTTTCCATTATCAATAGGAAAATTCCAATCAAACAAAAACTTATATTTTTCAATGAGAGGAATAATCATCTATCAATTGGAATTCGACAAATTCGAACATTTTAACGGATTTATATGCCTTTGAAATCTTACCTTGATCTGATGTCGGTTTCTTTCCTATTTCACCTGCTGACCAGCCATCTAGCACTACTTCTGCTCTTTTGGGAAGACATACGAGCGACAAACTTTGAGGAAATTTGAGCGGGGAAAATAATAAGAGCCATCGCCATTTTGTTCAAGATGAATATTTTTCCTTAGACATTTTGTGTACTTTATAGGATGAATGTTCGTGTAAATAATAACTACACCCGCTGAATTCGCTCCTGTAGCCAACTTTCCAGTTGACTTTCTTCTTTTTTTCACAGGTCCTTTATTCAGCATATTCATATTTCACTTTACTTCTGAAACTCAAACCTTAAGTCGGAATAGTTGAGCCAGCATAACAGCGAACCACTCAGGATATTAGTTCCAAAAATAATTCAGACGACTTTGCACTATTCTGTACTTATATGTATATTCATTTTGTTGCAATAAAAATATGCATTTCCCAGACCTGAAGTTTTTATTACCTATAATTGTTATTATGTACTTACATTTTGTTATAAAATTCTGTTCTAATTCACTGAGACCATCCTTACTTTGTGTACAATTGGAATTGGTAGCGGTGACATCACTCAATAGATTACATTCCATACCTAACTACCCTAAATTTAAATATCAATCTAAACAGTAACATTTTACTGTTATTACAGTAAGTCATTCTTTGTTCATAAAATTTCGAAAATCTACAAATGAACCATCGGCAGGACTATCATTTATTCTTCAATCAATACAGATTCAACAAAATATCTATTGAACATCTTTCTGATTTTGTTTAAAAAATGATACATTCAAGTAGATATTTTGTGAATGCCTGTTCACATGCATTCTTAATTACAAGTTCTCCAGAAAAATATGATGTTTTATATCACGTATAACCAATTTAGAAGCCACTAGCACTGTAACTAAGTTGCAAAAAAATACCTCGAACAATACCTATTTTCCGTGTCAAAAACATTCACATGATTTTCTTCGAATAAAATTGTTCCATGCTCAAATATTATTGTCCACATTCCCAGAACTATAGTAGTGCTTTGCAAAACTTCACCTAGGTAAATTATCAAAAATAAAATGAATGATTATTTCAATAGAAATTGATTCCTTATAACAATGATATCGTTTGGACAAATAAAAATATAAATCAACGAAAGCACCTCAATCGAAATTGTTCTGTTAATTTAGGTAGGTATAGGTAGGTAGGTAGTGTGGTAAAGTCTTCTTCAGAGAACATGTCAGACATGATGGATTTCTCTCTAACATGGCCGCAATGAGAGCGCTAACACCGTTCATCTGCGACATGTTTTTTGGAGACGACTATACACAGGTAAAAGTTTATTAATTTGAAATTGGGTATGCAGCTCACTTCTTCATTTACACTTTTACCCTTCATTACTGAACCGTTGACTATCATCACATCCATGTGGTTGCTATAGATACCTTTTCCACAGGTGTCATAATTCTTGACATTGCAACAGTGCACCTATATATCCGGGAAAAAATACTTACGTTTTCCCGTGGGAAAAAAGTATTTTATGCACTAGCGGGCCGTATAAAGTGCACTTTGCCGCCTGGTTTTGCGGGCGTTAAGTTGCATTTTACCACCCGCGTCATTATGGCCCACGGGCCGTAAAGTGCACTTTACCGCCAGCTGTTCTCAGTTTCCTTACATCCATATATCAATTCATAAAAAACCAATTAGGTAGGAATATATACTGGGTATGCATATTGTAAAATTCTGAAGAATGAATCACTTCTAGAGATCAAGGAGTTTTACTATTACGATAATTGCAATATTCGTACGATAATTTATCATCATCATTACTGAATTTATCCGTAACAAATTAAATTCGGGGAAGTATTAGTTGATCGAAATCTATAGTAATTACTTTTGAGTCAAAAAATAAACCAATTGTGCATAAAATTTTGTATGTATTACGTGCGTCAAATGCGTTTATGGCCTTCAGCGTGTAATGGTCCTCGGCTAGCGCCATCGGGCCATTATTCACGCCACAGGCCATAAACACCTACTTTACGCCCTTGATACATAAATAACTATTATGAAAAGTGACGTTTTGTAAAACAGAGATAAAATGTCACAAAAAAAAAGTTTTTTTATTTCTTCGGAGTATTCAATACTGCCATAGGACCTGATAACTTGAAGCACAGCAGATGATGTTCAGAGAAAATATGTCAGTTTTGGGCGATGATTTAATCAATATACTGAGAAGCGAACAAAAAACGGCTACTGCTGTAACTTCTGAATCATTGGAGATCGAATATTAATCGAATTTGGTGGGTAGCAAGTATACTAAATTTCTTTTTATTGACAGAACATATTTATTATATCACTTCCGGTATTGATGCTCGCAAGATTTTTACGAGACGAGTCTAACCTTTGATCTATTATTTTACAATTAAACGACCACCCAGTACATAGTTATAACTTCTTGATTGGATTGCAAATGAAACAGAGAAAAAGTGAGCTGCATAATTCCAAAATTGTTCAAAAAAAGTTTTCAGAATTTGAGTTAATGTCAAGTCAACGTTTGCAAGGGACCACAGGCAACCAACTCACTTGTTTTGAGGCACTCCTGGCATTATAATATATACCTACAAAAAATAGCATGTTCACTGATACCAATATTCATGAATGTGCACAATATAGTGATAAAAAGGTGTGCTACTGTGTTAAAAAAGAAAACTTTTTTGGTGAATGTTGGCACATTACTGCCAATGTGAAAAAATGTGCAAACAAGACAAAATTAGCACAATTCACACTTAGGATCTATAATTACCATTTGAAAGTTCAATTCAAATATGTACATTGAGATTTGCCAGGAAACAATGCCGTCAATAAACATATCATTTTCAAGTTATTATTACAGGGCATAGTAAACAGGGTGGATCACGGTCGATGGTACCTTAGAGGTTTACGGAGAAGGGGACATATATCATTCCAAAAATTTGGTGACTCCAGTAGTTTCTCATAGTCTATCGATCGAAACGTTGGTAGAAGTCCATTGTAGCTCAGTGGAGTGAGGTTATGTTACATTTTATAAAAAATTAATGATAGCAGAGTAATATGGTTTTTATAGGGGTCTCAACTTCCAAAAGGGACGAAATCAGGGAGGACGACAGTGAGGCTCAGCACAAAGCTATTGTTAAGAGCGATAAAACCCTGTGTTTCATTACATTTATAGATTCTTCCTGAAGAGTTGATTCAACCAATGTATCACAATTGGGGTCTGGTGGGATTGATTACAGAGACATGGTGTTCAAAATCATGATTGTTCAACTTTTTTTGTGTTGAAACTATTCATTATCGGTCACAACGGCTTTCATGTCCTTCGAATAAAGAAATTTTGTATTGCGTGAAAAATGTTCATTATCAAATCGCAGAGCGCTTTCGACTAATAAGCCATCGTCAGTGCGATACCTGCAATTAAGTTATTATCTATGAAATGTTAAAGAAAAAGTGTAGATCACTTACTCATTAAGTATTAACAAAAAGGTCCAAAATTTCATCAACGACATCATTATGGTACAAACGGAAGTAAGAACAGACATACCTACCTTTAACAAATAAGTAGCCCAATGGTTTATTGTAAAATTTTCGAAAATTTTATAATATGTATTTTCGGATATTTTACAATAACCCATTGGGGTACTTATTTGTTAAAGATGTTTTCACTACCGTTCGTTCCATATTGATGTCGATTATATTTTTGACCTATTTGTAAAAACTTACTCGATGACTTAGTCATCTACACTCTTTTTAACATTTTTGATAGGTATAGCACCGATTATGGCTTATTATCCGAAAGCGCTCTGCGAGTTGATAATAAGCATTTTACACGAAATTCAAAATTTATTCATTTGATTATTGATCAGTAACATGTATACAGCTAGTATAAATCTTCACCTTCCATGTCCATATGATTCATCATCTACTGACATTCAATTGGAACCAATACAGGGTACAAAGTTCAGAACTCTGATCACCCTCTATCTATTCGAATTGATTGTCAGTAGATAGTAAATCAAAAGTAAAGATGAGACATGAAGAGACATCAAAGCCGTGTTGACCGATAATGAATAGTTTAGACACAAAAAACTCCTGAAATTGAAAAATCTCGATTTTGAACGCCCTATAATCTGTAATCATTCCTGCTAGACCCCAAGTGTGATGCATTGATGAAATCACCTCTTCAGGAAAAATCTAAAAATGCAATAAAATACAGGGTGCTCCATTTGAAATAACGAAGTTGCTAGTTGTTTCTGATAGGCGTGGCAACACTGTATCAATGAAAATCTTTTAGACGGATAGAGAATGTTCAATTATCGAAGCATCCCATCTTTCAGAATGTTCTGTCTTTTCGTTCTTCAGATACTTCTAATAGGCCATCCACCGTGGATCACCCTGTATTTCTATAATCATTCCCGCTAGACCCTCAAGAAGTATGATACATCGATAAAATCAGCATTTCACGGAGAATCTAAGAATGTATTCCATTTGAAACATCAAAGTTGCTACTACTTTCTGGTATAAGCGGCAATGCTGCATTGCAAACAATATTTTAGAATTTTAGATCGATAGACCAAGAGCAACTACTTGAATAACCAAATCCTCAGAATGATCCTATGTGCCGATCTTCGTAAACGTCTAAGGTACCATCGACCGTGACCTACCCTGTATACACAGGGTGGGGCAATGTTGCGTCGGAGCTCGAATGCTCGAGTTCTATGATCGCCAGAAACATGATTCAGGGACGAATGTGTGTCCCTATATATAAACAAATTAATACATTCCATAAATATAAATCTGGTGACATGCCACTACTTAGAAAACCCAATGTTCATTATACCTTGTTTCCATAGGTGAAATGAGTTGAGTATTTTTGTTTTCAATCAATACATGTAGTGTTAGTGTATTCAATTCGTTTGTACTAGTTGATAAGTGGTATTATTTGTCAACGGTCTCTTTTTTTTAATTGAATAACTAAAATGATGCATAGGTACCTGTGCAAAATTTTATATATATAACTGAGTGAGTTCCAATGGGCACTATTTCAATATCAATTTCAGCATCGCTGAATTCAAATGTATAAATGTGAATTCAATTACAGTTCATTTTATGAATGCATCCATATTTTATATAAAAAAAAAATTAATTCCAGAAAATGATACTTAATACATAAGTCTGAATAAATATTATATATGTATACACGGTGCCCAAGATAAGGAAGGCCAGTATGGGCATCTGGGCAATACGAGAGTTACGGATAAATGAAAGAAAATTTGCGCGAGTGAAGGACCAACAAAATATCTGATTAAACTTTTCGTTTTTGAGTTATTTTCAAAAAACTGTATTTCCAGATTTTCAATTTTAATTTTTTCTGGCGTCAATAATGTAGTTATAACAAAACTGGAAATGCATCGCCATGGCAACTTTCAGTAATATTCAATTCAATCATCGATATTCTCATATAACGTTTCGTCTTTGAGCAACCATCATCAAATTCATTTTTTTAAATACAGCCCTGGTATTTTGATAGCTTTTCCATTCTGATTCCGACGATATACTAAATATTGTGATTTTGATATGTTTCGGGCTTATTGTGGCAATCATCAAATATTTTTTGTGATACGGATATGAATTCCCGAGGGGTAAATCACTGAGCAAATTCGTGTACACCGGACTGCCATCCATACTCGGACTGCCAAGACTGCCACCGGACTGCCACGGACTGCCACCGGACTGCCACGGACTGCCACCGGACTGCCACGGACTGCCACCGGACTGCCACGGACTGCCACGGACTGCCACGGACTGCCACCGGACTGCCACGGACTGCCACCGGACTGCCACGGACTGCCACCGAAATGTAATGGACTATCACTCAATTATGTGTTCCAACTCGTGTTCCAATAAAAATAAAGCTGTTTTTTGGAAATTTCAATTCACCACAAGAACAAAGTTCACGAAAACCGTTCTGACTGAATAAGTACTAGAAAGGCATCCCCGATGGTGATTAACATAGAAGAAATAAATCATCAACCGTGACCTACGATGTGAAGATCTCATTGGAAACCTATGGCATAAGAAACTGATCCGGAAACTATAACATTCCTGTATATAACATAACATATCTCGTTAAATCTACATGAAATGAAGATATTTTTTGAGGTGCAATAGGTGAAGTGGAAATACACGTAAATAGTACAGAAATCCGATGTTTTTATTTTTCTGTCGATTCGCCTGAAAATGTTCAGCACAAAATTTTCGAGGTTGAACAATACGAATTTTGAGTGAAAATTTTAAAATTGATATACTTATTTCGTTCATTCCGTTTGGAAGGTCAAATCAGGATTTGTCTTGGTTCGTTAATATCCCGATAAATACGAATTTTGAATTGTATTTGAGGATTTCAGATTCGCCCCAAAATGCCCCAAATGAAAACTATGGGTGTTTAAAGTTTGAGATATCAGAATTCCGAGTTGAATATTCAAATTCAAACGATTTTGTCATTTCCTTATCAATTTGTCAAAAAATCGTGGTTGAAAAATACGCATTTTGAGTCGCATTTGAGAACTCAAGATGGCGTCCCATAAGATGGCGGACGATTTCAATTTCAATGCATTTTCACATCAGGGTGTCCCATGAGAAAAAGTATAACTTTGATACGCCACTCATTTCAGAATCGCCCTGTATAACGCAAAATATTTTATAAATGTACACCATCTCAAAATTTCTTGTTTATCGATCTCAATCAGCAAAGCCGTTATCTCACTCTCCCACAGTATTGGTTCACCCTGTTCACCTATAAATCGTAACGCACTACCCAAAAAAATCCTCGTTGTACATTTTCAAAAAATTTGACCTTTATCGTAAATTCGTGATTCTTATACTTGAAAATTATTGTCAAGAGTATACAGTGTGACCACAAATATTCTTTCCTGATGTAATTGGGTAAGCTTTTATAACACGTGAAAAATATCGTTGACAATTAATTTATAGGGTTTTTCAAATTTTGAAAACATTCCAGAAATACTTGAGTTACAGGTCGATACATATATGGTGAATCAGATATGTACAAGGATTAAGGCAGGTATAGATAAACAAATTCTTAAACAGGTACTGCTCCGAGATCTATTTACTTATTGAAATTTTATGAATTCTTATAGGTTAAATACAGTATAAATACAAAATTGTTAATGAAAAGTAGTATCCTCTCTTATGCAGAAAGAATATTCTCCTTCTTCATATATATTATCTATATATTAGGTCGAGCTAGGTTAGATTGTTTAGAAAAATTAGTCTCCCTTCTTATGCAGAAAGAATATTTTTCTTCCTCATATTATATATCATGCCGAGTTAGGTTAGGTTGTTTGCAAAAAAAAGTCTCCTTCCTTTTTCGGAAATGATTATATTTTATGTCCTGGAATGAGTTCAAAACATATGAAACTTGATTAAACTACCGTTTTATATGTTCCCTACTTTGCGCGCAATTACAGCATAACCTTTTTGGGCCGTGCGTGCAATTGCACTATGGGATAAGGACGAGGATTAGGACCGAGATTTGGACACACTATTGAGAATACTGACCGCT